TCATCTTAAAGCGGCCAAGTTTGGACAACACTGACATACACTAACAGAGAAGAACAAAGCAGAAATTCCAGAGAGAGGAATTAAGGCAGAACAGTGTTTGTAAGAAGAAAACATTGTTATAGAATAGTTATGCAATAGAGTATAGTATAGAAGAAATACTGTAATGTTAATAGTAATTGAATAGTAATAAAGTATCGTAATTGTTATTGTTATAGTAATAGTAATTAGCATAGTAATGTAGAAATAATAGTAATAGAATATAGGATAGAGGCAATAGAAAACACTCACATACAGACTTGTAAGTTTCATATTTCACTTTTGTAGCTTGGTTTTTTCAAAATAAAATAACTGCCCAACTGTTATGGGGAGATACAAAAAACACCTGTCCAGGGTCCAGTGCTTTTGTGGATCTTCTGAGTCTGGGTCAGTCTAATTGGGTACAGTTTAAAAAAGAACCTGTGACACTTGGCTATAACCCTAAGTAAAGTAATGCTTGATTACTTTGGCTAATACTGGTAAAATGACTGTAATAAAAACTACAGTTATTTACTTTAAATAATGTCAGTAGCATACTTTGTAAAGCTTTTGACATAATAGGTAAGTTAAATATGATTATATTTGATTCTCATGCAAAATAATGTAAACCTCTATTGGTAAAGCCACAACCACTTAACGTTTTTCCCTTCTTTACACTGTTTTCAGTTTAATCTGTTGTATGATGTAATTAAAGAATTTACTCTGATCCTAAGGGCAAAAACATCTGTGCCAAATGTTAGCATTAACAAACTACCTGCCCTTCTGTGTTGGTTTTATATTATCTCATCTGCATTTCAGGAAGCATCTTATCTCAGGTTCTTCTATGTTCTTTTCTCCCTTCTTATTCTCTTTTAGCTCATTTCTTCTTCTTGTCTGATCCCCCCCCCTTTATTCTCTTTCTTTTCCTTACATTCTGCTTGTGAAGTTGGGAACTGATTAAAATTCATCAACAGGTATCAAATGATAACCCATCAATCCTCCCATGATCTTTCTTTTGCTTTTATATTTCAATAGCTCTTTGCTATATAAATATTTCTAAATTGCTGATACACCAGATTTTTAGCAGCCCTTATCTAGAAACCTTCAAGTCATTCATGTTTATCACAGTGCATTTGCAATCAGTGTCTGGCAACTTTGAATGCATATGAACATCTACACTGTCTTATCCGTAGGTGATTGCCCTTTGCTCCATAATTCTCAGCCAATCAACCAGCTTCCTTCCCTGAGACCTGATCACCATCAGTACCCAACTGTTGATGAGCCTCTTCCACCAAGTAAGCTTTAGTTTCTTCAGAATATATTATTTTATTCAACTCAGCCTTTCCTGTGCATCTAAAAGACAGATCAATATCTCCTGTGCTTACATGTCAAGCTTGCAAGAGAAATTTCAGTAATTTTTTAAAAAACCCTTTGATTCCCTCAAAATTTCACTGATGATTTGCCTGATGGATGATGCTGCAAATTTGTTTCAATTATTTTTTGTTAACAAAACAATTTACTTACTTTACAGCTAGGACAGCACCAAAAGCTTTAAAACCCATCTAGGAACCATTGACATTTTGTGACACCTGAGCCTTGCTTGCTAGGGATTCTGGACTGAAGGCTTTGGGTTGGATAACTCTTTTGTTGATATAACCTGCTACTATCTATCTTTTGTTTTTCCTTCCATGTCTGTGAGACTTTTTTTTTTAACAGGCCTACTAGCATTTTGATTGAGTTTTGTTTTCCTTGTTACTGTGCTGTTTTTATAATTACAGTTTATGATTTCTTTTCTTGCTCTGTGTGTTTGTATATTTTTCAAGTACACTGTTTTGAACACAAAGTGGCCAATAATTATTTGTAGGTAATTATTACCTATAGGACCCTGTATGGTTTTTAAAAGGAAGTCCTAAAACACGGAAACAGAGGCAAGACTGATATCAACACCGCACTGGTTTTGATTGAATGTGCATTTTGCTTGCTAGTTGAGAAAGTAGAATGAAATGAGGCTCACAGTTTAAGTGAAAAACATCACTTGGGCTTTCCCTTTATATGCTTCATTTCATTTCACCTCATCAGTATGTGCTGTACAAATATCCTGATGCGTCAGCTTCTGGGCACAGCATTGAAGTGAAGTCCCATTCATTTCAGAAAGCACAGGAAGTCATCTTGATAGATTGTGGCCATGATCAGTTAAACCTTCAGGTGCTTTTCAAGGGTGAAGATGACAAATACTCAAAGGGAATGCATTCCCTCCTGAGGATCCCACCAAGTCCAAATTACCTCTTCCTTTGAGGTTTGCCTGTATGATCTTTGGACAGCAAGCAGGATATAAATGTGGATGATTCTGACAGTGAAGTCATAACAAATATGAATATTTGAATGTTGTATGTTTGAATCCTTCTGCGAAAATACATGTCTGTAAAATGAGTAAAGTAAAATGAGTACTTCTCCTAAAAAGTCTTGCATCAGTAAATGTTGCCCAGTAGAGGGCGCTCTCTGATCTGTAATATTTCACATAGTTGTCAGGTTGGAATGATTACTTCTGCACAGTAGAAGGCGATCACTAATGTTTTTAAATTAACAGAGCAATATTATCCTCTATATCTTTATTCAGTATATCCTTTGTGTTCAACTGAACTTCATTTTAGGTGAAAGAATCTAGGATCTTAAGTGTTAAAAGAAGCTTTATAGTTTTTTGTTTCATATGGAGTGAAGATTGTAGTTACTTGTTTTTGACCTTAATAAATAATCCATCATCCAATGAGCTCTTGATATTCCCCAATTTAATCGCTGGATTTTATTCTGACCTTGTTAATTTAATAAAAGCCAAAAGAAATCTTCAATCACCTAGAGCTTGTAGTAGTCTTGTTTGAAACTTGCTCCAGACTGAGGCCAAACAAAGATACAAGACAGCATTACATAATAGGCAAAAATCTTTTCCTTCTAAGTCTTTATCAAGTACTTTGCAGAGCAGGGCAAATTGCCCTGCTGTTATTGTTTAAGAATAATATTGGTTAAGAATTTTACGTGTGTTATCATTGCATCTAAATTTGCCCTTTCACATTTTCACCCAAGTATTTTACGGTTAGAGTAATTTATTATGGAAACTGATCAGTACTAAACTCAAAGCCATATTTATTAATAAGAGAATAAAGATCTAATTAATTTGTTCCCATTATCGTATCTCCTTAGTCCTCTGTTCTGTGTTTCTGAATATATTTTTTTCTTTAGTGGGCTACGCCTACTGAAAGCTTGTTGCACAAATTGTATTATTTATTTCTTTGTTTGATTTAAAGTCATACTGAAATGATAATGTTCAGTGGCATGATTTTTTAAATTCAGTTTCTTAGGCTGCATCTGCAATTTGAGCTCAAGATTTAATATTTTATGTTCTGAACATTGCTTCCTAGCAATAAATAAACCAGTCTTAGCAGAGAGAATATTCATTTAAATCAGATGTATACTTGACTAGATAGAGAAAGAACTGATTTATGTTAAGGTGCTTATCTAACTCATTGTTTCTCAAACTTGGCAACTTTAAGATATGTGGATTTCAACTTCCAGAATTCCCTAGCCAGCATGGCTAGCTGGGGAATTCTGGGAGTTGAAATCCACACATCTTAGCTGCCAGGTTTGAGAAACATTGATTTAACTGATACTTAGGTATTAGGTAATCATTAACATGGGGTCATGCCCTCCTGAAAATTTTAAGGAACTGGCATTTGAGGGAATATGCAGGCCACAGAATATTCAGCTATTTTGGAGATGCTTAAGTATTACTTAAATACTGTATTCAAAATAGAATGCCCAATATACCCTGTGACCTTAACCTAGCTAATGTGATTGCTATTAGTAGCATTATTGCAAATGACTATGATCCTAAGAATGCTTACAAGGAAGTGAGATCTATTGAACTTAATGGGTCTTGCTTCAGAGTATAGAATGTAGCTAAATGTCTGTAATTCTAAATGTGCTTACTTGAGGGCCCTGCTTCTCTTACTTCTCAGGAATTCTGAATAAAACCTGTTCAGGAATATTCAAAAGTGAGTAATCTGAATTCCCCTTACTTCCTGGCCAACATCCTTGAAAGGTTTGAGTTTTTGCAAGGATCCATGCAGTCAGCATTGATATATGTGGCAGGAAAGCCCGTGTACACCCAGCTTTATTTATTTATTTAAAATATATTGTTTGTATGTTTTTAACCATATGTTAACTCTGGGCAGTTAACATATAGTTAAAAACATAGAAACAGAAATACAAAGAACATAAAACACCACAATACAGATAATTCAGGCCAAACCACAACATACCATATTCCAGTTCAAAGTGATTTCAGAATGGGCTCATCCAATGCACAGGGGAAAACCAGGTTCTCAAGGCTTGCAGAAGCTAACAGGGTTGGGACCTTCCAAATCTCAGGGGAATTGTTCTTCCAAAGGGCAGCTGCCATGACAGAAAAGGCACACTTCCTAGGTCCTGCTAGGTGCACATGAATGTATGAAATTGGAGGGGGGTTGGGGTTAACCAGAGCTCTTACAGAATAAGCATTCCAATTTCTGTGACCATTTAATATGTTTTCAATATGTGTAGAAAGTGGATGAAGTCATATAATCTTAGCTGGATTGTAACTACTTTCTGTCACTATCACTATTTGACATGGTACAGTATTCTAATTATGACATGGGCACTTATCTGGCCTCTTGTTATGTACCAATTTCAGGTGTTTTTATCATTTTTCCAAAGTCTGTGGGTGAAATGCAATAAGTTCTCCTTATGGAATATTTTACTGATCTTCCATGTTTATTTTTTTTAAGTGTGTGGGTATATGTGCCGTAACGTCCATAGAGTAAATTTACAGTCTTTCTGTACAGGTTATCATTCCAGTAGGCTACTCAATGTCTTGTTTTTCAGTTGTTATTAACCATTGTATGTGATATGTGAAGTTTTGCTACATTATTCATTGGATAATTTCATAGTTTTAAACTGGCTGAACAGAATTCCCCATTCCTTCTATTATAACCTGGGTTTTAATGATTCAGTGATCAGTGTCCCAAACATTGCATTTTAAAATTATTATTACAATCTAGTCCTTCCTCTCTGATCATACTTAATGATTTGGACTCCAAACTTTTTCATCTTTTGGTATTACATGCCTACACACACACACACACACACACACACACACATATACACGTATTCTTGGTTTATTGCTTTGTATGCTTTTATCCTTCGTTAAAAAATGCCATTTAGTTTTTAGGAAATATTCTCACAAAATGGGAACTTTACAAATAAGACAAAATTTGGAATAAAATATAATTTCCTGGATTTCCTATTTCTTGCAGAATGCTAGCCCTTAAAATGTATATTTACATTATACTGAGACATTAACCCTAATTTGGAAACCATTTGGCAAGAAATAAACTATAGCAGGAGATATGTCATGTGTGTGAGGACTTCCCTGATCATTTCATTAACTGGAGCAACTCCATTACTTAGCACTGTTGCTTATAGATGAGATGGAGAAGATGTAGCTCTCCTAATGCTGTGGGCCTTCAACTTCCCTAAGTAACCATGGGCAATTGTAGTCTAAATGACATTTGGGTGGGTATGCAGATCTTCTATTCTAGCTCCTGACTAGAGAATTAAGTATCCCAAGAAGCAAAATTGTAGAAATGGCATTAGATTTACAATTTTTTCCCCAATGCGATTAGCTGTGCTGACTAGTTCAAATGACACTTCCCTAACTCAAATCTTGAGATGCTACATTGGCCTAACTTGTACTGGAGCTTTATTAGTGATTACTTTAGATCACAATAACTGCAGAGTCATTACATAGGAGGGTGGGAGCGCCAAATGTGATTTGGCAATGTAGTACCCCTTCTTGGATATGTGTCTGTTACTTATTCAATTATTCATTTATATGCTGCCTTTTAAGACTAGGTTCTCCTCAAGATGGCTCACATAAGATTAATGCTGGAGCACTATATCAGCTCCTGTGCTGTTTGTAATGTAGGTACATATCCCTTTGACAGGAACTCTGCTTAATAGCAAGATATTTTTTCTATTTATTTATGGAGATATGTTTGCATAAATTAAGATTTTAGGGGAAATAGTACATTCATAGTCTCAATTTCCAATATCTGACTTTTGGATATTCCCAGAAAAATTAATTTGTTTTTGTCTCCCCACCCCAACCCCCTCAAAAAAATGCAAGACTGGGAAGCTCGGATAGACAGCCATGGACGAGTATTTTATGTGGATCATGTAAATCGAACCACAACTTGGCAACGTCCTACAGCAGCAGCTACTCCTGATGGAATACGCAGATCTGGATCAATCCAACAAATGGAGCAACTCAATCGACGGTAAGTTATTTGGGGCCAAAATATTATAATAAGTCAAGCAAAAAAACCAAAAAAAAAAAAAGCATATTTTTTAAAATATATTTTCACAATCCCATGCCTTAGCATACAGTAACTCAAAAAGAGAATAAAGAAGATATTTGCTAAGTAATCTTGCCCAATAAGGGTCATTAAACATACTTGTTGGTACAACTGAAGACAAATAATAGAGGTTATATAAATACTTCATATAAATTATGAAGTAACCTTATTGAAAGAAAGTAAAATATAAATGTACTTGTAACTGCTATTAAGAAGACTGGAAGCCACTTCTTTATAACTTTTTCTTTTCTTTTCTCTTTATTTCTTTCATTGCACTTTTTTTCTTTACTTACTTATTACTTTCCTTTCCTTACTTTTTTCTTTCAAAATTGGTATTGTTTTTATTCTTTTAAGAATTTGTTTAATAAAAATTATATATATATATATATATAATTATATATATAATTTTTATTAAACAAATTCTTAAAAGAATAAAA